CTCCTCCTCCTCCTCCTCCTCCTCCTCCATCATTTCCTTCCCCCTTCTCTTTCTCCTCCACTCCCCAATCCTCCTTCCCTTCTAGCACTGATGATGTTACCTAGTTGGGCCATGAAACGTCTGCAAAAAAGCAAGCCAGCTCAGAGAGGACCAAGGATCTCACCAAGATGTGAACACCTGTAACGAATTTGTTTCAGAACAAATATAAAGTGATGGTGTTATGTGTTATTAAAAATTCCCATTTCATTGAAACGAGGAGAGGCCCATCTGGCTGACTGATTGATTATGGGCCGTTAAGCGGATATTAACCTCCAGCAACTGCATGCAAAGAACTTCTCCATGATATTTATCCTAATTTGACCCTTCGGAGCTCTACCTACAACCTGCTTAATGCTACACGCAAGGTGGAATCTCTGGTTTGCTCCAAGCTAGGAGTTTAGCGGGGAAAACACCACCACAAGATAGCTTGGGACTAGCCCACAATCCTAAGACAACCAGGCCCTGTCCAAATTAAATAGGCAAATTTGCAAAAATCTTCCTCCAAGCACAGCCCTTTGACCACGCCTTCTGGGAGGTGAAGCAAAACAATGAGGACCGGCACCCCGCTGAGTCACCCTAGGTCAAAGCACGAAAGAATTCCACTCTGGCTTGAAATCCTATCCTATTTATATTCCTACTAGTGCTGGTAACTTGGTATTTATTTATAAAAGGGGGGGGGGGATGTCCGGATCAAATGTAATTTCTAATGTGGGATTTTTCTCTTTTGCCAGAGGGAGCCCCCTTGTGGAGTACTCTGAAGCCGTTACCATGGCAACTCCACTGTGCTGTACGGTAGAAGCCATTTTACAGCAGTACAGTAGAAGCCATTTGAAGGCATAAAAGGCTGTATCTTAACAGAACCCCCACACACAAACACACCGAGGGGTGTTAGGGGTGTCTTATTCCCGTAGTATTTGTTTCCAGAGAGTAAGTCATCTGTGTACTAAAAGTTTGGTTGAAATTGCTCAAGGCATTCCAGAGTTATGCTGGAAAATACACACACACACACACATACACACATTTCTATATATATATACAACATTCTTCAGAGCTAGAAACATGTGTAATAAAAACAATATAGGTGGATGGGGGACAGAAACATGGATAAATGAAGGAAGACAACGAAGCCCAAAAATAGTAGTTAAGGAGAATTAACACATATATATGTATACAAGTGGTTTAAATTTACTAGAGGTAATCAGCCAATATAGCAGACAGATGAGTAAGATAAAGAGGGTTAAGAATGGTGAAATGGAAATGAAATATAATAGAAGGGGAAACGATATCAGGTGAGCGATATCGATTGGCAATTAATTGCTATTAGAAAGAACAGGAAGCTCCTGTCCGTATTGTATTGTGTAAATGTGGTGTACGTCTAAGTTTCGTGTGTGTGTGTGTGTGTATTTTATATGTTTGTAAATAAAATTTAAAAAATTAAAGAAAAAAAAACAACAATCCCAAAAGACGAGAATTTAATCAGGGCTAAATCAAATCGCCAAGCCGAAACATTCAGTTCTTGGGGGCTAAACAGGCACCCCTAAATATCCGGGGACCGAAGGGTGATTTTAACAACCTTCCCACCCAAACACAGCCCCCCCCCCCTCAACCAACCGACCCGCAGGCAGCTTGCCAAAAATACTCGGTCCGCCATGATTCCGCCATTGCCATCTTCACCTCCGCCTGGCTGTGTCTCCCACCGACAACCTCGGTTGAGTCACAACCTTAGGAAGATAATCGCTGTTTTTCCCCTCCTTCTTCTCCCATGTTGAAGCATCAGCAGCCAGGGGGCTGGAAAGCTAACATTGCAAGCTCAGGTTTCCCCCAAAAAAAACAACTCAGTGAATTTGCACAAGATCAGGTCTCTGGAATTGCAGAGCGACCTTGGAAAAGGCAGAGGTGCGTGTATCTTCCTACCTAAACTTAAAGGAGACATTAAAGTCAGCCCAGCAACCAAAATGTGACCATCCTGGACCAGAGCATGTCCCAAAAAATGCCAAGGGATTTCTAGAAGCAAATCAGCCATCAACGAACACATAGAGGTTAACAACGTTTGCAGATCATGCAACCAGCCCAAAAGAGAAGAAAAAAAAGACTCCAGCACCTCTCCATCAGCAATAAGCACTGTTGCGGCCCGCCAGGGGCCCGCAGAGCTGGCAACCGATTCGGACAGTGAGGAGGTTTGGGGAGGACGATGGGCCAGTCCTGGAGTCTGGGGAAGGCTCTGATCAGGGCTCTGTGTCGGAGGCAGAGAGGGGGCCAGGGCCGTCTGACAGTTATCAGCTGTCTTCACAGTCGGACATCAGTGAGGCAGAAGAACAGCTGGAGCCTGTTCCCAGGGTGCACATGCGCAGAGTTGCCAGACG